AAAAGAAATAAAGACAAAATGATAAATTGAATAAAAAAAAAAAAAAAAATCTACCATGATGTGGACTTGAACCCTTAAGTGCAAAACAACCCACGAAGTGGCATAAGCTTTATCCATCTCAGCTATCCAAAGGACATGTGGAACTTCTTTCGAAGTCACATATGTTTATGGATATCCTTCAAAGCGTGTCCTACAATTCACAGCAGTTAGGATGTGCAAAATTAATGAATTAGTGGTTAAAGCTGCACTAAAAACCTTAAAAAATAGTTGAAGCTATATATTTTTAAAAAAAATAATACTTGGGAATATTACGAGTACGGACAAATTAAAAAATAATGTATTAAAATCAAAAGTCTGTGCATATAATTAATGAGCATTTAGTTCCATGATTTAATTAAATAAGACTTATAGATAACATTGAAGCCAGAGCGAGAGCAAGTCAGTTAAATATACATAGCACATACTCGGTTGCAGAGTCAAAAGACTCTAAAGAGAAGAACTCGCGTCGTCGCTTGCTTTGGCTATATGCGCTCAGCTATACAGCTATATAGCCGACATTTCCATTCCTCTCGTAGGCGCAGATTCGGTATACCCCTTCCACGCATCTCCAAGATATGCGCTTATATGGACATTTCCACGCGAATCCACTCCTCTCATACCCCTACCGTACTTCTCAAATAAATTAAAAAAAAAAGTCACCCAAAAAAAAATATATCACTCAATGTTTTACCATTGAGTACTATCCGAGGCGATCGATTTATGATGTATGCTGCAGTTGCAGCAGCTTCTGCCCAAAACTTCTTCGGCAGTTGAGACTCGGACAGCACATACACCTAATTTTTTCAAGGAGTGAACGGTTGATACGTTCAGCTCTGCCATTCTGCTGTGGGTTGTGCGGCACAGTTGTTTGATGACAAATTCCATATTCGTCAAATAAATCCCTCAGCTCCTTGTTGACATACTCGGTGCCATTATCTGTACGAAGAGTTTTTACAGAAATTTTGAACTGATTTGACATAAATTTCAAAAAATCTTTTATGCATGACACAGTCTTGTCCTTAGATGGTAAAAAATAATTGTACAATTTACGTGAGTAGTCATCCAGTAGTGTCAACATATATTTGCATCCTCCAATTGATACCGTATCCATTTGACAAAGATCAGAGTGTACTAATTCCAGCCTGGATGAAGCACGTTTTGTACTTGACTGGAAATGAGCTTTTATATGCTTACCAGACACACACGATGGACAGTAGTTAATAGTCTGAGAAACATCAAAATCAATTCCTGTAGCAGCACCCTTGAGCAATTGTTTAAGATATTGGGTGTTCAAATGTCCCATACGTCTGTGCCACAGTAAAATATCTTGTGAGGACAAGGCAGCGAGAGCACCTACTGAATTTGCTGATGTTTTAGAACCATCACTAATAGAATTTAGTTCTACTTGATATATATTATTATGATTAATCGAACCTTGAAACATAACAAAATTTTGTGGATTCAAAATATCACACTCTGTGTCTCTAAAATTCACTTTGTAACCGTTCTTCGTCATCAGACCAATAGACAGCAAATTACAATTAAGTTCGGGCACATTTAATACACCAGACAAGTTCACATTACACTGAGTTTGTTTGTATTTACACTTGAGCGCGAGGTCTTCTTCAGCCTCTACCTTCGCTCTTCTTTTATTGGCAACTATAACATCTTTGACTTTCAAATTTCGGAGTGCCTTGAATATCGCTTTGTTGCCACTCATGTGCTTAGAAGCACCCGAGTCGAGAATCCAATTGTTGTTTTCTATTCAGCTCTCTTGTGTTGACAAACTTTGAGACAGGAACGCACACGTAGCTTCAGCGTCTTCTTTGTCTTCTANTATTTTGTTCACACATGTGTATAATCAAAATGATTATAAAAAAAATATTACAAAGAATTATTTGTATGACAAGTACCCCACAGGGGTCCCTCAATAGATACGACACCAAACGCCCAAGCCTCCTTAACACAGGCACCTACCACCCAATGACGCGGGGCGCTTACTGGTTGCTTTGCTGAATGATAAAATATTAATTATTAACACAAGCACCTATCACCCAATGACCCGGGATGCTCACTGGTTGCTCTATTAAATAATAAAATATTAATTATTAATACAAGCGCCTATCACCCAATGACCTGGGGTGCTTACTGGTTGCTTTGCTGAAAGATAAAATATTAATTATCAACACAAGCGCCTATCACCCAATGAAGTGGGGCGTTTACTGGCCACTCTTAAATAATAAATTATCAATCACTTACAAGACCACCAATTAAAAAGATCTTTGTCGTACTATAGACAATCAATCGAAATTTTGAATTGCTTACATATGTTATCAATTAACTTTTTATTATTGAATAGTGTGGCAAATAAGTGTCCTGGGTCATCAGAAAATAGGTGCCTTACTAATTTATTAATAATTATTTATTTGCTAGATTTGCAATAAGCGCCCCGGGTTATCAGGTGATAGGTGCTTGTGTTGTAAATAATTATTTATTTAACAGAGTGACTAGTAAGCGCCCCAGGTCATTGGGTGATAGGCGCTTGTATTAATAATTGCAATTATCATGATGTTTTATTATTCAATAGAGCGACCACAGTGAGAGCCCTATGTCATTGGTCGACAAGTACTTGTGTTAATAATTGATATTTTATTGTTTAATAGAGCGAAAAGTGAGCGCCCCGGGTCATTAGGTGATAGTAGGCTCTTGTGTTATTATTATTACAATTTTTAATTTTTGTGCATTGTGGGTACTGTTTTTGGCAATGCCCCTTTACTGCTGTCTGCTCGGCGGAACATTCTCCCTAGATCGTATATATAGCTATGTTTATGATCTAGGGAAAAAGTTTCGATATTGAATCCGCCTAACCCAATGCTGGGGCACACTCACAGAAAGTGGGTAGCAAGTAGCAAGTAGCAAGGCAGTCAGTGATCTCCTTACTAATCTCTGACAGCAGTAAAGGGACTGAAAGGGCGTTGCCAAAGACGGTACCGGGTACCCACAACGCGCGAAAATAAAAAATTGTTACATTAATAACACAAGTGCTTAATATCACGTACACAATGACCAGGGCGCTTACTGATCACTTTATTAAACAATATATTAATAATTAATAGCGCAAGCACCTATCACCTGATGAAACTGGGCATTTACTTGCTTCTTCATTAAACAATACAATGTTAAATAATAATCCAAGCTCCTATCATACGATGACCCGGGGCGCTTACTGGCCATTCTAATAAATAATTAAATGTTAATTAAACGCAAGTACCACCCTGGGTTATCAAGCGATTGGCGCTTGCGTTATTATTTAACTTTTTATTATTTTATACACCGGCCAGTAAGCGCCCCGGGTCATCGGCGCACAGTGGGCAAAAACGGGTTTTTTCGTTCCAAAATCGTAGAACTCGCGAACGGAAATAGATAGATTGATAATTCTCTTTTTATGTTGTAGTTCACTTAATGCAGAATATAGGAAAATTATAGGGGAGTATAACTTACATTGTTCTAACCTCAAAAAAAAGTCCGATTCTTGGTTATTTTCCAGAAAAATCAAGAAACAGGCTTAAAAAAAAGAAGTAACTACTAAAAAACATGTAAAAGTAAATACATTGATGCCATTATACCCGAATATTAATTTTATACTGACTTTATTTCTTATACTGACTCAACATAACCTCAATACACGCATGAAATGAAAATATGCTACTTTGTTTAAAAAATCATTGTAAATCGTCCTAAAATAATTAACATGTGAATTATTTTTCCAGATACAAACATAAATCCCAGAACAAACCACTGCAGAATTGGAATTTATATTATTTTTCTGTTTTGTAACCTCAAAAATTATTAAAACTTATGTTAGGAAAAAATGGAAATTTTCTTCTATATTTAAAATATTGCTTTACTGTAAAAAAATTTGTGTTAAACAATACCTATTTATGCAGCAAAGAAGAGAACTATATCTACAACAATAGTGAAAGTGACGTCGATGAATTAGAATCATTTAACGAGTGTGATGAGAGTGATGATAAAATGTGTATATAATAAAAACGCTGGATAATTAGATAATCAAAAACCTGTTTTTTAATAATTTTTGAAGTTATAAAACAGGAAAATAATATAAATTCCGATTCTACAGTGGTTTGTTCTGTGATTTATGTTTTTATCTGGAAAAATAATTCATATGTTAATTTTTTTAGGATGATTTACAATGATTTTTTAAACAAAGTAGCATATTTTCATTTTATGCGTGTATTGAGGTTATATTGAGTCAGTATAAGAAATAAAATCAGTATAAAATTAATATTCGGGAATAATATGGCATCAATGTATTTACTTTTACATGTTTTTCAGTTGTTACTTTTTTGAGCCTGTTTCTTGATTTTTCCGGAAAATAACCAAGAATCGGACTTCTTTTTGAGGTTAGAACTATGTATGTTATACTCCCCTATAACTTTCCTATATTCTGCATTAATTGAACTACAACATCCAAAAAGAATTATCAATCTATCTATTTCCGTTCGCGAGTTCTACGATTTTGGAACGAAAAAAACCGTTTTCGCCCACTGTGCGGCGCTTGTGTTTAATATTTAATTATTCAATAGAGAGGCTAGTAAGCAAACTAGGTCATACATATTAATAAAAAATACTGATCTATGTTTTGCAGTAAATCATATAAATTGCTGTCAACATATGTAAGTCCACACAATTTTAATATAATTCTACAATTACATTTTATTATTTTTATTTCTTCCTTTCAAAGGGTTTACTGACTCCAGGTGCTTGTTTGCTCAGTCCTCTTTTTCTGTTGTGACACCTGGTGCGAGAAAGCAGAAATGATACAAAATGTTCTCTAAAGTTTACTGTGGACTGTAGACTGTAAGTAATATAATATAGACTACGGGACCAGATATATTTTACACTGTGGCTTTAGCATAAGCACAAAAAAAAGTCACGGAATACCACCCCCCTGGGTCATTACTCTTACCATCGTTGATGTATACTTGATAACCCACACTCTTTTTTACTAAATTTCTAATTTACATTTTGTGTTAGTGAACGCAAAGAGGTTTTTTTACGCAGTTAGTCATCACATGAATTAAGACATACATTACGCACGACTTATCAGTTTTATCATTCGTCGTTCGTCGTGGATGTGTAGTAGACATTTGCCGACCTCAATTTATCGTTCGCACGTCCATCCGGTCGACCCCCTGCTACTACTACTATTTACCTATGTCTAAGGAATTAAGTTTGGATGATATCATACAGAAGAAGAAAACCTCAATCGCAATGAAAAATCGAGGGTATGTCTCAAATTTTCTCTGTTCTCGTTTCTTTAAGTACCTACAGACATGCGTGTCAGCTACTTTCTTTCCTCTTTTACACTCCGTTATGATAGCCAGCGTTTGTTTTAACTCTTTGTTTTCTCATTATGCTCACCAAATGGTACGAAATTAGATTAAATTATGTGAAATCATTAATCCTGGAAGAATTCTCTCTTTCCTAATGTTACGTTGCTGTTATTATCATGAGTTTTACTTGTATGCTTAAAATGATAATGATTTTATAATCGTAGCACAAGCCTGTTTCTTTTGTAGTAACCTACTTAATTTTAAATGAATTGTAATACATACAAACGTTTTGTACACCGCGACATATAGCCTTAAATGTACAAAGTTATGAAATGTTCGTCTTAGTTCAATTTTGAATTGTCTGCAACATGATTAATGTTACGTACAACTCTACATATTAATTAATATATGTATGTATTCATGCATTTGTTTCCTAATTAGCATTAAAAAGCCTGTCACGAAAAATGCAACTAAGACAGCAAACGGTGCTTCAAATCATCTCAAGGTCAGCAAACGCATTGAGGATGCTCGGTTGAAAATTATCCAGATAAAAAGAAATCACATGGTTGATGCTAGGGATAAATTGGCCCAAATGGCAAGGCTTAGTGATGCTCGTTTAAAGTTGCAAAAATTGAGGGCTGCCCGTTCAAAGAAAGTTGATCCAGTAAGTATGTCACGGAAAACTGGATGCACTGGTCAAATAAGTTTATCCACCAATAAGCTAACGGTTCCACGTATACCACGTACTGTGTCATCATTTGTTCCACTTCATTCAAGACCCTTGAACTACAGGCCAACTATGATACCAGAAGCACACTATGTTAATGAGATGATAGTGGGATACAACAACGGTGAGTATTGATATGTTTAAACTGGAGAGCGGTAGGGATCCACAAAAGCTTTAAATAGATCATAGTTCGTTTTCACATACCTATGTTACTGCAGTTTAATGAAAGTTCCCTATCTTGACTAGAAATATTTCAAACCAAGTATTTAATTCTTATGAATCAATGTTATAATTCATTAATTAATCATCCTTTTTTACCATTACGCATGCAATCATTGAAGTCTCATTTCTATCAAATAAAAATTTTTAACCCCTCAGAAAAGTATATTACTTACTTAGGTTGAAAAAATATAGAATGTCGCAGACAACAGGTGTTTGACACTAGATGCTAAGCCAAGGGTAACAAGAAGATGATGTGATTGTTTCCTACCATGGGTTGTAATTGATTTTTTATTAATTCTGTGTTTAGACAGAATTGCTTTCTCGCTAAGCAGAGAGATCCTTTTTTCTGTACAATATCATAGTAAAAAAATTGTATTTTTAATTCTCTACCATTTCCACACTTAGATACTCCCTGCTTCCTAAATAATGACATTCTTATAGTGTTTGTTTTTTTTTAATGCTCATTTTCTCATTTAACTATCGAAATTTTAAGAAATTTTTCCACTCCACTATTTTTTGTTGTACAGCTTGTTAAAATTGCCAATTATTAGTTAAAAACTTGTCTGACATATTACATAAATCTTAATACTCCTCACTAGTTAATAATATATCTTCTATAGATTATTTAATGGATCATCAAGCTGCCCTAAGACGGACTGTTAGCAATGATTATGCGCCATCACTACCTCCTCCACCTCCTATTTTTAACATTAAGCCTTCACCATATGACTGGGATAAGCCAACTCATGGCAGCTCCTTATCTAGAAGTCAGTCAATTCGTACAGTTGATCAAAGCAGGCCCCGAGACTATAAAGTTATCACTCGTACTGGATTGGTAAAAATCTACATACTTACATCATTTATTTCACTTCAGTTGTATTAACATATCATTTTTACTTCAGCCGAAAAGCGAGTCTGGCCATGTGTACAGAGATGATTGGGCTTTTAGTTCAAAAACACGGTAAATATTTAGAAAAAATTTTTTTTTATACAATTTATATGCAAGTTTAAGATATATTTACTGAAATTTTGTTTGTATAGTACAATTTTGCCAGATTCTGCTCTAAACTCCAAATATTACGCAATGAGAAGTCACAAAGGAGATGTAGGTGTTAAATCAAGACTTGAGTCTCACCCTTCCAAGGCTAGTCGACTTACAGTTAACTCTTCTCGCTCGAAATCAAGTTCTCAAACACCTGGATATCGAATCGTTGTATCCAATTTGCAACCAAATGTCACTCAAGAAGATATAAAGGTTGTAGTGGTATTTTTCAAGTTAAAAAAAAAGTTTTTAACAAACAATTTTAGAAGTAAATAGAAATCTTACGAAGCAAATATTGTACAGGCAACAATTAATTAAGTATTCTAAACCGTTTATGTTGGTAGGAACTATTTGAGGATGTAGGAGAGCTACTTGTTTCAACTTTAACAAGACCTGGTGTAGCTGAAGTAACTTACAAGAATTTGAAGGATGCAACCAAAGCTGTTGAAACTTATCACAATCGTCAATTAGATGGACATCCAATGAAATGTCTCCTTGTCCCTCCTGGACAAAAAACTTCATCCTCAACGTCATCAGGAAAAATACTATCTCAGTAAGTTGACAACTAGATAATCAATAAATCGAAAATAATGTGATAATATTTTATCAGCCTTAGTGGTTGGTATGATTATCATCGATCAATACATAAAGCAACCAAAAATCGAATATCAGTAACTATAATGAGCTTAAGGTTCTTGTATATTTTTTATTGATAGGTCAAGAGTCTCCAGTGGTTATTTGCAACCAAGTTTGGGAATGGTTCATCGTGCATTATTTGATTAACAGTGAGTCAAATGAGTCTATTAACATCAAGGACTTTGATTGTTTCATACTAAAACCTTTTTTAAACCATGTAAAACTACAATTACATTTAAGATAAAGTGTCAAGTTGCATTACCAAACCTATAAGAATTCTTTCCAAGTGTAAAAGAAACATTTATTTCTAATAAAATTACTTTTAAAAAATTTCATACATCTTGTTATATTAAAATTCTAAATATATTGATTAAATGTAGTTTCCAAAAGTTATATAGAAAGCAAGATGATTACGTTTGCAACAATCAACTTAAAATCATTACACTTTCTCAATTTGTACCGATAGAAAAATTTAAGATGTCATAGTTAGAAAGGAGATCAAGTTTGGATGAAAGGTTTACATACTATTGAGAAATAATCGTAGTAAAGATAAGTTAATAATTTATTTAAATTGAAATTAACGAATTTTGAAGTATCGTTGTTTAATATGTAATGCCTTTGGACCTGGAATAATTTGTCCGCTCATAAATTTCATGACTTAAGTCGGAGATGTGCATCAATACATTATCATTTCAAATGCATATAACACTAATGTTATTACATTGACTATAGAAAAAAAGAGCGCTCCGAGCGACTCCAAGCTTAATCCCGAACAAATCTAAGCGCCATGGAGTTCGCCCCTAGAGCTGTAAAAATCTGAAACAAATTTGATGTATCGATTGCGCGTAGAAAATGCTGCAAAAAGTTACGTTACAACTTTTTTGCGCGTGCAATTGTTTAAGAATTATAAGGGAAAAACACTTGAGGGCTACCCCCAAAACTCAGTAGCTAATTTCTATTAATTAATTATGACAACGAATTATGTATTATTGATAAAACGATTGCGCGTAAGCTGCGCGGGCCGCCCCCAAACAAAATGATAGCTTAAAAACCTTGGATGGTAATTATTAATGCAAATCTGCTTTACGCAATAATTTCAGTTAAATGTTAAACTGCAGCCGGCGCGCATGCGCACATCCCCTTGCTTCTGCTTGCTCAGTTGCTCCGTTGCTCGGCTAACTCGGCTTGCTCCCTTGCTCGTCGGCGAGCAACTTGCTCAGAGCAAGGGGATGAGCGCATGCGCGTTAGCTGCGGTTTACCTGAAATTATTGCGTAAAGCAGATTTGCTTTAATAATTACCATCCGAGGTTTTAAAGCTGTCATTTCGTTTGGGGGCGGCACGCGCAGCTTACGCGCAATCCTTTCATCAGTAATACATAATTCGTTGTCATAATTAATCAATATCAAATTAGCCACTGAGTTTTGAGGGCAACCCCAAAGTGTTTTTCCCTTATAACTCTTAAACAATTGCACGCTCGAAGAAGTTGTCACGTAACTTTTTGCAACATTTTCTACGCACAATACATCAAATTTGTTTTAGATTGTAACAGCTCTGGGGGGAAACTCCATGGCGCTACAAATCTAATGAGTATGTGTAGGGTGGGTGTAGTCCTGCAAAGGCAAGGAGCAACGAGGCAAAGCTGCGTTCCCACAAGAGAGATTAGTGTAACGACCTTTGTCCTACAGGTAGCGCAGCTAAGCTACCACGTAAGGACGCACGTTGGGACAAGACGAGAGCAGCGTTGGGTTAGGCAGATTCAATATCAGAACTTTTTCGCTAGATCGTATATATATCTAACTGGCCTCTCTATTAAATAATAAAATATTAATTATTAACACAAATGCCTATCACCAAGTGACCCCAGGCGCATACTGGCCTCTCTATTGAATAATAAAGTATGAATTATTTACACAAGCGCCTATCACCCGATGTTCCGGGGCGCTTACTGGTCACTTTATTAAATAAAAAAGTATTATTCAATATCACAAGCGCCTATCACCCGATGACCCGGGGCGCTATCTGGCCTCTCTATTAAATAATAAAGTATTAATTATTAATACAAGCGCCTATCACCCAATAACCCGAAGCGCTAACTGGCTACACTATTATAAGATAAAACGTTAATTATTAACACAAGCGCCTATCACCCGATGACCTAGGGCACTCACTGGTCACTTTATTAAACGATATATATTATTGATTAATAACACAAGCGCCTATCACCCGATGACCTGGGGCGCTCACTGATCGCTTAATTAAACGATATATATTATTAATTAATAACACAAGCGCCTATCACCCATTGACTCAGAGTGCTTACTTGCCACTCTGTAAACTTATAAAATATTACTTAATAGCACAAGCGCCTATCACCTAATAACCCGGGGCGCTAACTGGCTACTTTGGTATATGATAAAACATTAATTATTAACACAAGCGCCTATCACCCAATGACCCAGGGCGCTTACTGGCCTCTCTGTTATATGATAAAACATTAATTATTAACACAAGCGCCTGTCACCCGATGACCCAGGGCGCTTACTGGCCTCTCTATTAAATAATAAAATATTAATTAATAGCACTAAATGTAGTTTCCAAAAGTTATATAGAAAGCAAGATGATTACGTTTGCAACAATCAACTTAAAATCATTACACTTTCTCAATTTGTACCGATAGAAAAATTTAAGATGTCATAGTTAGAAAGGAGATCAAGTTTGGATGAAAGGTTTACATACTATTGAGAAATAATCGTAGTAAAGATAAGTTAATAATTTATTTAAATTGAAATTAACGAATTTTGAAGTATCGTTGTTTAATATGTAATGCCTTTGGACCTGGAATAATTTGTCCGCTCATAAATTTCATGACTTAAGTCGGAGATGTGCATCAATACATTATCATTTCAAATGCATATAACACTAATGTTATTACATTGACTATAGAAAAAAAGAGCGCTCCGAGCGACTCCAAGCTTAATCCCGAACAAATCTAAGCGCCATGGAGTTCGCCCCTAGAGCTGTAAAAATCTGAAACAAATTTGATGTATCGATTGCGCGTAGAAAATGCTGCAAAAAGTTACGTTACAACTTTTTTGCGCGTGCAATTGTTTAAGAATTATAAGGGAAAAACACTTGAGGGCTACCCCCAAAACTCAGTAGCTAATTTCTATTAATTAATTATGACAACGAATTATGTATTATTGATAAAACGATTGCGCGTAAGCTGCGCGGGCCGCCCCCAAACAAAATGATAGCTTAAAAACCTTGGATGGTAATTATTAATGCAAATCTGCTTTACGCAATAATTTCAGTTAAATGTTAAACTGCAGCCGGCGCGCATGCGCACATCCCCTTGCTTCTGCTTGCTCAGTTGCTCCGTTGCTCGGCTAACTCGGCTTGCTCCCTTGCTCGTCGGCGAGCAACTTGCTCAGAGCAAGGGGATGAGCGCATGCGCGTTAGCTGCGGTTTACCTGAAATTATTGCGTAAAGCAGATTTGCTTTAATAATTACCATCCGAGGTTTTAAAGCTGTCATTTCGTTTGGGGGCGGCACGCGCAGCTTACGCGCAATCCTTTCATCAGTAATACATAATTCGTTGTCATAATTAATCAATATCAAATTAGCCACTGAGTTTTGAGGGCAACCCCAAAGTGTTTTTCCCTTATAACTCTTAAACAATTGCACGCTCGAAGAAGTTGTCACGTAACTTTTTGCAACATTTTCTACGCACAATACATCAAATTTGTTTTAGATTGTAACAGCTCTGGGGGGAAACTCCATGGCGCTACAAATCTAATGAGTATGTGTAGGGTGGGTGTAGTCCTGCAAAGGCAAGGAGCAACGAGGCAAAGCTGCGTTCCCACAAGAGAGATTAGTGTAACGACCTTTGTCCTACAGGTAGCGCAGCTAAGCTACCACGTAAGGACGCACGTTGGGACAAGACGAGAGCAGCGNTTGAAGACAAGTTTTCTTTGTACTGTAATAAAGTACCTTTATTCTGTACTTTAAGTACTTGTCTTTTTTGTTAGGTACTTATCGTCAGCTTATTATTATATACATACAAGGGTTATGTTGTCAGATTTGTATACATACGTCTGCTCGGGTCACTGTATTGTACGATATAGGTCAACGGTGTAGATGCATCTATCAAAAACTTTAATGCTGAATCAATGCTGAATCAACGTTGATTTTAGCGATAAATCAACGCTGAACCAACGTTAAATCAACATTGATTCCATGAATGACGGAACACTGAAATCAGTCGTAATTTACATTGTTGATTCAACAATGATTCAACGTTGAATGAACACTGATTCAGCGTTGATTGAAACGTTAAAATTAAATTTTCAAAAATTAAAAAGTAGTATAATAACATTTGGAGCAGATATATTGACGTACATGGAGGTACTATCCCTATGGTAACACCAAAACAGGGGGGTTCAGTTATTTTATGTGAAACTGTATTGAATACGCATTATATTCTTCTAATATTAAATTAACGTTTAAATCAACGCTGATTCAACGCTGATTCAACGTTGAATCAGTGTTCATTCAACGTTAAATCATTGTTGAATCAACAATGTAAATTACGACTGATTTCAGTGTTCTGTAGTTTACGGAATCAACGTTGATTCAACGTTGGTTCAGCGTTGATTTATCGCTGAAATTAACGTTGATTCAGCATTGAAATTTTTGATTGGGGTATCACTAGTTAAAAACCCTATTTTGTTCTCGTGTTTATAAGCTTTATATCCCGTAAAACTATACAGGTGACGTCTAGGTGGGTCCAGGATTTCTAGCAGGAATTTCATACATGTTTAGGTGCACTCTCAGGTCTAACTTATCACTATCTGTTAGCTAATTATCTACTTAAATCTACTGTCTTGTATATCGATCATTGTCATTTTNTTATGAATTCTCATTTACTATACAAAATCGTGAATCATTGAATGTAAGAAAAACAAGTATAAGTTCTGTAGCAAGTTCTTATACAAGATCTTATGTAAGTTCTTATCTAAGTTCTTGGGTAAGTTTTTATACAAGATCTTGACAAATATTTTTAGCTGGGCTATCATCTAGTGACCCGGGGCGCTAGCTGGCACCTCATTAAATAATAAACTAACAATTTTAACACAACCGCCTATTACCCAATGTTGACGCTTTAAGTCAATCGAATTATTGACTATCATACGCGGAGCAACTGCCACAAATTTTGCCATGGTTGATAGTAAAGGAAAGGAAAACCAAATAAACTCCAAGAACAATTTTCTTAACTCATGAAATGAAATTGACTTTATTTGTTTTACCTTTCGAAAGGCCTCGAATAATATAGTTGCCTGGC